AGATAGCTGCACTCCAGTTCCCTTTCTCTCTCTTTTTTTTTTTTTGTTCTGTTTTGTTTTAATATCACATTTAACCCTTTAAGACTGTGGCTGAAGGGTGGAAAGCGCTGGGTGGAGAAAGGGAAATACCCACTATTAGCCCTGTAAAAGCCAGGGCATGTTAAATGGCAGGTTCCTGCTGCTGTCTGCAGCGCAGATACAGAACACACGATAGCTCTGCAGCTGGAACATCTAGATTTAGGATGCTGTTACAGCAGCAACTCCCTATTTCTTCCCTCCCTTGCCCGATCAGGCACTGCCACATTTCATATCAAGCAGCACATATCAGGATATTTCACCTGCTTTGTTCCTAGTGCTCTTCTAGGCCTCACTCCTGAGGAGTCTGGCTCCATCTGTGCAGTTTGCTGCAGTCTCAGCAGCTTCCAGCATCAGGACTCAGCTGAGATAAAAGCAGTGTCACCGTGTCCCCCACACGGGTGACATGGGGCTCTCAATCTGCACACTCACTGTCCTTATTCCTGCAGCCAGTACCCGGCCCTAGCCCTCAGGGCAGCAGAGCTGGTGGGAGCCAGAGTGCAGAATGAGCACATAAAGCACACACTTCTGACTTACAGCTCAGGTTATAAGGCCATAGAAAAATGAATATTAGAGAATATGAACCAAGTTATTTTCAGTCATGCTCAGACCCATGCTTTGCACAGGCTCATGACTAAGGAGATCAAGTACCAGCCCCTTGAGCGAAGGCCTTTCAGATAGAGAGGGAACCACTGCAAAGGTGGTTGGCAAGACGCTCACCGCTAACGTTAGGTACTGCTCTGCAGCATTTGTTATCAGTGATGTTCCTAAGGGCAGAACAAACACCCAGCTGCCTCCCTCTGCAGAGTAAGTCATTGCTAAGAAGCTGATTTCTGCAGCAGCAGAGATTTCTGGAAGGACTGATTCCAGACTGGGAAACTGACAAACTGTCCACAACGGCAGCTGTGAACTACTTGCATTTTGTGGATGGATTTAACTAAGGGCTTCACTGAGAACACAGAATATTAATCTGCCCACATGCTTCAGGATCTTAACTTAATAGGGGTCAGGAGGCCTTGAGGTTAGGAAGCAATCTATGCCCCCAGAATCATGCTTTCAGATAACACGTTTATTTTCCCTTTTTTCTACTGCATCAGTGTTTGACATCACTGAAGGTGACCCCATGTCCAAAGGACTGTGTCCCCACTCCTTTCCCCTTCTTTCTCAGAAAGCTCCATCCAGCCTGGCCCAAGGATGGAGTCCCTCCCTGAAGCAGTCCTGATCAGAATCCTGGCTTCCATACCTGCGGTGGATCTGGTGCTGGCGTGCCGCCTGGTCTGCTGCCAGTGGAAGAATCTGGTCGATGGAGCCGCGCTTTGGATCCTGAAGTGTCAGCAGGAGGGCCTCACTGGAGCAGAGTCAGAGGAGAACGCAGAGAACTGGCAAAACTTCTACTTCCTGAGTAAGAAAAGAAAGAATCTCATCAAGAACCCATGTGGTGAAGGTGAGAGACAAGCATAACAAGCCCCAAATTTTCACAGAGATAACCAGTCACTGGGAACTGGGCATCTCCAGTCTTTGAAAAAAATATTTTACTTGCCATCAGGTTGCAGCATTTTCTTCTTGCCCAAGTCAGATCACTTAATGCATGCAGTCAAATCATTTAACGGGCATGAAGGCCTTTCATAATCAGCCTTTGCAAATGGTGCTACCTGACATGAGCTCTATATAAGTCCCTGCAGGGATCAGTCACATCTGAGACACAGAAACATCCTTTGCAGAACCTCTGTCCAGTGCAGTAATCGTAGCGGCATTCAGGTTTCCAGATTGCTTCTTGCCAAACCGTGACAGCAAAGATCCTGCCTTTCCCTGCTCAGGAGCTGCTCTGCCCTTAGCTCACCAGGCACGTCAGGCTTCCTTCCTTGGAAGCAGATCAGCAAATCTTGTTCGTAACCTCCTCACTACAGCCCGCGTAAGAGCTGTGCACCCCCCCCATTTGCTGTTGTTCTGATAATCTATGAACTTCACTTGCCAGGTATACAGGATGCTTAGCGATAAGCAGCAGTAACCAAGCCTCATAACCCGAGCAGCAACAAATACATTTCACACATCATAGACCAAAGCAATATCAACACAGCTTCTCCATTTTGCTCAAAGATTATTTTCTGCAAGCTTTTCCAACATCCATGTTCCCTCTGGCTCAGACCAGAAAAACCCAGTGTTCAGGGCTATGCTGCTTCTAGAAATACCACTTAGCAATTTAGAAAATTTAGAAATAAAGCAATCAGCATCTCTCCCCGGGCTATTCCTATGTTATGACACTGAAAGTGCTGACGCAGAGTTCAGAATACCCAAGTACTGGAGTACTTTCTGAAATAAGCCCACCTGTAGATAGCCATTTTGGTGGGGAATGTTAAAAAAGTTTGTTAATATTAAGTTCAACAAGACTAAAGGTTTTTACCTGACCTCTACTCAAACATCTCCATAGACTCCATACAAAGCTAGTGCTGCGTCTCACAGCACACCTTTCACAAGGCAGAGAAAGGTTCCAGGGGGAGATGGTCAGGGTCCCCAGGCGCAGAGAAACTAAGACTCATCTGAGTCTCTTTTCTGCCATTTGCAGAAGACTTGCAGCACTGGGGAGAGGTAGAGAATGGAGGTGATGGCTGGAAAGTTGAAGAGCTCCCTGGGGACTTTGGAAAAGAATTCCCTAGTGAAGAAGTCCATAAATACTTTGTTACATCTTATGAGTAAGGCTGCTTTCTTCTCTTATTCAGGGAAGGGGACATTTTTGGTTCCCCCAGTCCCAGGAGAGACTGTGATATTAATTACCATCTCACATTTCAGGTGGTGTCGAAAGGCTCAGGTGATTGACCTTAGGGCTGAGGGCTACTGGGAAGAGCTGATGGACACAACCCAGCCGAAAGTTGTGGTAAAAGACTGGTAAGTAGCAAGGATGCCTCAGAAGGCAGGCAAAGAGTCAAGAAAGAGAAGGAAGGGCAGATACCTGCACTGGGCCTTAAAACCTCCGCTGCCAGATCCCCTGGATGTCGGACAGGACTGGGCCTTGGCTTACAGAGCCACCAGCAGCTCCTACAAGCTTCAAATTCTTGGTGCACATGGCCTGTGAAGACCAGGTTCCTGTTGCGGATGAGGGGAGGTGGTGGGTTGGGGTAAGAACAGCTCAAACCAAGGCTCCAGTAACTTGCTGAGATTGGCAGACCTGCATCCAGCAAGATGCAGTTGCATGCTCTGTCTCTGTCGAGGTCACAGGTAAGCTAGCAGCTCGGCTCTCTCTTCAGGTACGCAGGACGCAGCGACGCTGGCTGCCTCTATGAGCTTTGTGTGAAGCTGCTCTCGGAGAACGAGGGTGTTCTGGCTGAGTACAGAAGCGAGACGATTGCCATCCCGCAGGACAACGATGCCAACTGGACTGAGGTGAGTTACAGCTGCGGGCTCAGCAGGTGACACCCAACCTGCACGAATCAGGAATATTTTCAAGCAGAGAGAAGCAGGAGAGTTCTCTGGGAGGAAGAGAAGGCTCTGTCATGCATTCTGTGGAGCCATGACCTGGTGATTGAACAGAGGGATTACACACTGGAAGGCTTCCTTACATAAAATTTAGGGGCTTGTGGAGCCACCAGTGCAGATGTGAGATGAAGGAGGTGCCCAGCTGGGAGAGGTTCAATAGCCTCTGAACAACAGTGGGATGGAAGCTCCTCCCAGTAGCTCCCAGTGTAAATGTCCTCATTGTTACCCAGCCCAGTGGATGTGCCTCGGGCAGCTGGGGTGAAGGCTCTGGGCACTAACGAAGGGCAGGTTCATGGTGGCATGATGCTTACCAACCATTTTATCTCTCGTCCCAAAGATCTCCCACACCTTTTCCAGCTATGGGCCTGGGGTCCGCTTTGTCCGCTTTGAACACGGTGGCCAGGACACGCTGTTCTGGAAGGGATGGTATGGCGTACGTGTCACCAACAGCAGCGTGACAGTGGAGCCGTAGCCATGCTGAACGGGGGCCTGCATGCTGGAGCTGGCTTCCCTAAGGGCGTCCCACGCCTTTGGATGGTTTCTGCATGGTGCTGCTTCTGGGCTGTACAGCATACGACCCTGCTGTGTATCAATGTGCGTGCAAGGTGCCAGGGGCCGCCGTCCACGTTGCCTCAAGGGGACTATGCAGAGAATGCAAGTGGATTTGTGAATGCACCACATCAGACTCAGCCTCCCTGCTTGCACTGATGTTCTCTGTCAGATGTGAAATCACCTAAAAATCCTGCAGACATTACTTCTCTCCTAAGCCACAAAGCCCTAGCACCCAGCCTGAGCTAGACACCCCTCCTGCCTGCTTCCCAGACTTGGGCACCTCTTAAGTGGTACTTCGGGCATATTTTCTGGAAGTTAGAGTGGGAAAAAAAGAAAGAAAGAAAAAAAGCATAGTCTTTGTGTCTGAGAACACACCAGGGAAACCCGGAGCCCTGTCACATCTCTGTCACCAACTGCTTCCATGACCTGCAGTAAGAACCTTGGCTTCTCCCATTTATAAACAACAGGCACCCTGGCCATCCAGTATGGCTCTTTGTGGGCAGGAGAGACTCTTCACCCAGAAAGCTGGTGTTAGCCCCACTCCATCTCAGTTCCTCCTGCCTACCTGCAGTGTCTGCAAAAAGTACACGTCTGCCCCCACTCCGTATGCTCACTGACAAGCACTGCGTACGCACTCCCGCTAGTGCCTCGCCATCCCTCAGGGCTGTGAGCCACCCTCCCGAACACAGACACCCAGGCTCCCTGAGCCAAGCCTGTCCCTGCTAGTCAGTCCCCGGGAACAGCCTCCTCCGAATGGAGCTGGTGTTACCTAGAGAGGATAGGCACTTACGTTTGTGTGTCAATCTGTCCGTCCTCCCTTCGGGCTGCCAGCACGTACCTACTTGAATGCCACTTTACATCCAAGTGCACCGTTGCCAGTGCAGCATCCTGCTATCGCCTGGAGCCAGAGGAGAGAGCTCCCGAGCTGGTCACTTTGTGCACGCTCTGCTTCATCGGGCTTTCTGCACCGCGGCACCTGGGGCACACTGGCCCTCTGAACCACGGCCGTGCCACGCCAGAGCCCAGGCAAACATAATAAACTGACACAACTGTGTGTGGATCTTGCTTTGTGTCCTGTGCTTAAGCATGCTTTTTCTGTTGTTACATGGAGTGATGTCAACCAGTCCTATCCAAAAACCAGGAGTCATTGTGTCTTGTGTAATACCACAAGTCTCCCACAAAGAGGGACACGGTCTGTTCCCCAACCCAGCTGCCTGAACCCGTGGGATACAGCAGCGCTCCACACACCCCTTCCTGCTCTCAGCAACTGCCACCTGATGTCCTGGGAAGCCAAGTGCATCTTGGTGGCTGCAGCTGTACGAGATCCCACGGTAATTTTCTTTTTTACAAAGCCCACCACAGCCAGTCCTGGCTATAAATGCTATCATACTTAAAAGGGTGGGTGTTTTGTTTTGTGGGGTTTTTTTTCCTTTCATAATAGCTTCTACAGCAAATCTTTTGCAGAGGAACAGAACAGAGCAGGATGGGGCCCTGGCAAGGAAGCACTAGCATACATCTCTTGTCAAGTCTAATTGAATTTTTCTATATGAAACATCTAGTATTACCCACCTGGGGGGTTTGTGGACAGATGGAGAAGTTTGCTCCCCCACCAGGCATTTGAGACTGTGGATGGGAGGGATGAGGGAGAAAAAAAATCTGACAGTTCCCTGTTGCTTGCAGCCCAGCTGTTCTAGCCAGCTGCAAAAGGGAGGATAGGAGGATAGGAGACTGATTCCCTCTAAATCAAACAGCTTGGAGAGGCTGGGAATGGCACCTCCCGAAAGCCACGCAGCAGGGCAGCCACCACACCTCCAGCAGAGGCTTCCAGCCTAAAGCTGCAGCCGAGGTGAGTATAGTCACAAACAGGATGGAAAGCCAGTGACTTATCCTTGCATTTGGGCCCACAAGCCTGTCAGACGTAGAAAACCTCAAAAAGAAAAAGAGAAGAAAACACTGGGCTAGTGAAGCAGCATCCCCCAGGCACACACCTCCCTTCTCAGTTCAGACCCAGCCATTCCCACGCCTCCTTCATTGCTGTCCCACACCACACAGATATCTTGGGGAACAACAAAGTCCCCGGCGAGCAGCAGGAGCACTGAGCTAACCCGATTCCTCTCCTCCTCCCATCCAGCTGGTTCCTCCTGCTGTCCCTGGGGCAGTGACCCCCCCAGCTTTCTCCGTCTCCTTTGCTATTAGGGAAAAAGGCGCCTAAGGATCCTCTCCTACTGGGGAAACACTCTGGAGTTACAGAGAGAACAGCTAGAGTGCACCTGGGACTCACTGCGGAGCGGTGGTGACAGCAGAGGGCACCCAGGGTGCAGGCAGCGGAGCCGGGCTGGCCTCCAGCGCTTCTGCCTCCGGCTGCGGAGCCCCTGTCGAGGGAGAAGCAAAAGAGCTGCAGGTGCACCACTGAGTGCTGCATTCGTGTGCCTCTTTCTGATCGCTGCGCCTTGTTCCTTCTGGCTGCAGCTTAGGCTCAAGTGAGTGTTTTCTCTTCCTGTTCCGTTTAAACGCCTGCTGTCGTGGTTTGCAGAGCAGCTTTTGCTCCACAGACCCTAATGCTCGTTATCCCCTGCCATCTGGGACACCCCGTGTGTTTTGGAAGCACAGCTGCCTCTTGGGCAGACACAGCACACTTGTCTTGGATGCAGGCAGTCTTTTAAACTGCAATTCACTAACCAGAGAGCAGTGAAAGCTTTCTTGAACACAGATCAAGGCCTGCCTTTCAAATTCGATTGGAAACTCGCCCAGCACTATCCTAGCGCATTGATTTATTAAGAGCATCACTCAGATCAGTACCATTCCTTTCCTTGCAGAATATCTTCTTACCTTAATCCAGCCCATGAGAATCAGAACAATCACATCCAGAGCAGCAGGGCTGTCTGCATCCCCATCTACACCGTGCCCAGGGCACCCAGGCACTTTACTACCTTCCTTGCAAAGCCCAGAGCCCTCCCCAGCAAGGCAGGAGCCCCAGCTACATTACACACGCCCTGGGCTCACCTCCCTTGCAGGCACTTAGAGCAGCTCATCTGGAGCCGCTGTCTGTGCAGAGCCATTACCCACAGCACCACCAGCGCTCCTGGAAAGGCAGAGAGGCCACAATAAAGCCGTAAGAGCGCTCACCGGACTGATGGATTGTTGGGGAACACACCTAACTGCAGCAGAACAGCTCAGCGCTAACCGGGGAGGGAAGAGAGCTCCAGCAGTGAGATGCCGCCCACTGAGCGTGTTGCAGGTGCAGGGGGAACGGGAACACGCTGTGAACTGCTCTGTGAGCCCGCTGCCTGTCTGGGACAGGGCAGAAGGGCAGCCTGGTCCCTGGGACGAGCTGTACGAGCACTCACAGGTAGATAAACCCCCAGGCACGTGCACGTGTCCACAGCCATGCCAAGCATTTCAGAAACCACTGATTTGGCCTTCCTGCACTGTCAGGACAGGATATCCTCAGCCACTGGCCACCGTAGAGAACTGGCACCAAACGAGACCCACCCCTGGCTGGTACTGCCACAGCCCTCACAGCATTTCTTTGTGGCTTCCCACAGCTCTTTGCCACATATTGCATAAGGAGCTAGGAGACAAGAGCTATGAGCACCATGGCCCACTGCCCTGTGGGAAGAGGCTAGTTTTTCTGAGCACAAAGCTTCTTCTCTGAGAAGGCGCAGGAGATGGGGTAGAGGTATCGGCAGCTCTGCTCATTGCAGTCCTTCCAAAAGGTCCTGAAGTCAAGCAGTGCCACTTCCACCTCACCACACACCACGCAGCTCCTCTCGTTAATATTGACACGTGAAGCATTGCAAAACAAAGCAGATAAAATCCTGATCCAGGTATGAGTAATGACTTTGCATTTTTTTGTAAATTAAACCTAATCTTGTGTTGACGGTGCTATACAAGGAGAAACAATGAAATAGATGAAGATACGATCTTGTTCACTCTTGCTGAACAAAAGCCAATTAATTGCCAGCAGGATTATTGTGAAGTCTTTCTCATCTTAGACAAATACAATCAGATAGAACCTAGGTGCTGGTGGAGGAGCCCTGTTTATTGGAGCGATAACTCTGCCCAGACAGATGAACACAGTGCAAAGGCTCAGTTAACCACACAGAGACTCCTGCCTTGCTCTTTCCCCCAGTCTCTCTTGCCAGTTTGCACACAGAAGACGCTTTACAACCAACACTCCCCAGCACCCCACCACACCCAACCCAGGCTTGCCTGCTCGGAGTCCCCTTCTCCTGGCTCCAGCAGACCCCTCTGCATCCCTCCTAACACAGACTCATCAAGGCTTTTTTCAAAGCGTTCTGGCTCTGAAGGCTTTACCCCCTGCAAATCCTCTCTTACAGTCCCTCACCATGCGGAGATGTTTCCTTTGTTATCCAAGCTAAACCTCTGCTGCAGCCTCTCTGCTGCTTGCCTGGTCCACAGCAGAGCCTCCTTCCACCCATCTGCCTGCCAGGACAAGGAGATTGTTCCTGCCTCTCCTCATCTGTCCTGCTCCTGACATAAAATAGAAATTTGGGGAAAAGCAGGGATTGTAGGAAAAGGATCCAATGCCATTGCTCTCCCAGGAAAACAAGGGAGGGCTTGGCACAAGGACTGACTATGGGATGGGAGGAAAGACTTCAGCACTGCAAGGCATGTCGGTGTGGGAGAAATTCATGCGCTGCTGGGTACAGTCACCACCATATGGGAGCCCTGAGCCACCACCAGCCCGTGGGACACAAGGAAAGATGCAGCAGATGTTGTGGCACTGAAGAGTGGCAGCACTTCACAAAAACAGTTGGCATGGAGAAGCAAATCCTAGTTCTAGCCGGGAAGCTGCTGAGTAGGAACAGAAACCAACACCAGCGTGCCTGGACAGAGGGGAGCAGCAGGGTTGAACTCGCTGTCCCGCTCCCCTACCCTGCCACTTCATGACAATCCCCACTTTCCTGATA